GCTCGTAGACGTACCGTGCTAGGGCTTGATTTTCAAGTCTGTTCGGATCTCTGTCTTCTTTCCATCGACTGACTTCGAAGCTTCCTTTGATAAAGCTCAGCATCAAAATGATGACCAGCACTGAAGTGTCGGTTGTAGCCATATCCTGGTATGAGAAACCCGCAGCTGCCATAAGAATAAGGTTTCTGCATCCTGATGGGTGATTCTCTTCATAGATATTATTTTAGCGGAGATACACCGCGTCATTCTCAGCAAGTGCCCCCGGCCTAAGAAAATGCCTACCCAAATGCCAGTGGTAACGTCTAGTTCCCATGAGTTTCAAATAAAACTACCACGCCTCATTCTCCCTCTTTTTTTTTCTTACACACCACGTTTACGCATCACGTTAGTGCAACACTTGCCTGCTTGAATTTCGTCCAATTATACTTATTATCCTGATCTTCAATGCCTGCACCAGGCTATTGGTTGAAGAATCACTTGTGTTCTACTTAGTGATTGCATTCTAAACACGCCACACTGCTCCCTTGGTGGCTCCCAAGTATCTGCATCGAAAGAATTGTCATCGACACCTCCGTTATGAGGTCGTACACAAAAAGCCGTAAGCAGTTAAACGGCAGTTTTTTGGCATCTCTTGTTGTTCACATCAGTTGCGTTAGCTCATCATCGAAAGTGCTTCCACTAAAACAGTGACAGATCAATCAGAAGTACGAATGAATGAATTCAATAACCAAAAGTGTAATAGCATTAAAAGAATAGAAGCAGCTATAAATTTGCTGCATGCTCCTTAAAAACAAAGGATGCCTAAGGATGAACAACTAAGGACGATAAAGTAAATACAAGTATACATAGGGCAAACATGAACTGTCGCAGTTGGTACTTCTACGAGCCCCTACTATGTCTCCTCTAGTTAGCAGTTGACATATTTCTCCCACGTGGCCGTGTCAGCTGAGTGAGTTTTGTGTTTTCGACAGCTTGATTACAGATTTTGCGGTGAGAGAACGAGACCTGCAAAACTCCCATCTATTGATAAACTTGCGAGCACGGCCGACCATGCTTAGTATGGTGAAGTTGGTGGCACAGATCCAAACTTAGGTGAAAGACAAAAAAGCTTAATAATGAGGGGGGGGGGGGTAAATAAACTGGCTTAGGCACGTGAAATAAAAGGGTATTTGTTTTGGCGAGTCAGAAGCTATTTATTGTGCCGTTATTGCCCAATGCTTAACAGATGCACACTTTAGATAATAGACTGGACATACAAAAGCTCAATTTTTCAATGATGTTTCGACTGAGTGAAGCCACGGCATCTATTATCTACAGGCACCAATTCTTTTCAGTAAAATAGAACTTAATTTTGACTGTGTTCGGTTGGGACATCGTCCTGAGGCTGCCTTCTGTGAGAGCTACAAGACAAGACCACTGTGGGCGAGAACAATCTGGTAATGTGGTTGAATTTGTTTCTGTTTACAGAATGCCCCCCTCTGCTCTATTGGGCAGGCTAGTTAGGGTTCCTCAAAAAATGGATGCAACACTTGTCCTGCGTTTCACGGTAAGCATTTAGAGGTCTGTTTCCTTCAGCGCTTATCCTTACAGTAGAAACAATTTGTCAGAGAATTTTACATCACACAAAGAAGTATCTACCTAAGGCGAAGAATATACGTTTGCAGCACGTATTGTGGCCCTTGTTTTTGCAAATGCAACATACAAATCTGCAGTTTCGAGTCGCAATTATACTGACAAACAATATTGTGATTTGTTTTATAGGCTCGGCTAACTGAGTTGTTTCACAAACATGCATTATGTGAATGGGCTTGTCATTTTCCTCTCCTGAATAGCCCACTAGTCCACCAACGTTTCCTATCTCGATATCTTATTATCTAGGATAATATAAGAACAGAGCATTAGTATTCTTTTTGTCGTATGGAAACTAAAGATTTATTTATTTAGATGAGTTCTGGGGTACTAATATTTTCACCGTAAACCGGTGTATTCTAAGTGACGCAAAAGTATTTGCTTACAATTAGAACGAAATATGCCGGTCTAGTTAACAAAGAGTTGCCTCATTTGTTGGCATCGTCTCTGTTACCATTTATTCATTGTTATAGTGCCTTAAGAAGAATAATTCGTGGAGTTGAGTAGTATAAGCACAAACTCAAGGGTATGCGCACTCCCATATGGCAAGTGGGCGCATATGTGCGTGCACTGCAGGTAGAACCACGATGTAGACAATACATATTAGCACGTAAGTCTTCGAAATCAACTGTTCTTGCATTTAACATTCTAAAGTTAGAACATTGTTGTTTGATGTAAAGTATTGTCGAGTTATTCTCGAATTGCTAGCAATTGCAAAGCTAAACACTAGTTTCCAGAGGTTTGAGGCAAAGGGTGGTATTCAACCATACTTCAGTTATTTTCCTGAGTTAAGTTCGGAGTTTCAGAACTAATTATTTCAAGATTTCTAGACAAAATCTTAACAGCACTTGTTTAGTTCCTTCGGTTTAGCGCTGTTGCAGGAAACGTGCTACATACCATTCAATGTAGATCGGCTCTTTCTAACAGCTTTGTGAAGTTAGACAGTTTGTTTTGAGTGTATTTTTAGTAGATGTGTCTCGTAGGAATGGGAAGTGCAAGAATAGCTGAATTGATTGTTGCCTGAACATCTATATTCGTGGCAGCTGCCTCCGGTACATTGCGCAATTGAGACATATCTAATATATTGTGTGCCGAAGCAGCCCGGCATTGGCAAAGCGATCAACCTGACCACTGTCGAACGCCGTGCTGTCAACCCTCCGTGCCTGCACAAGAACTGAACTGCTGAATCATTTTCGGCGAGAGGAAGCACCACAACTACAAATGTGATCCCGTAGGCTTTTCAACATGTGGCTCAAGTCGTTGCTGAGGGACCACCGATCTGCTATATAGTACTTTTCAAAAACGCCATCTATGACACAACTAGCTATGTTGTTAACTACCTTCTGGTAACTTTGATTCCGACAGACTCACAGGGCCATGTTCCACAATTTTGCTAAATCATTTGTAAAACTACTAGATGGGCATTTGCTACTAAAGCTTGGTTCGTTACATTTAAATGACGGCATCTTAGCATTAAATAAATTATTCCTAAAAACAAAACTCTTCACAGCTTTTGCCAACAATAAATTATCTGCTGCTAACCTCGTAAGCTCAGGTGTCCCTGTGGGACCTGTACTTTGCCCATTTATGTGTGTCACTTGCAATGATGACGTAACAATTGATGTCTTCTCTAAAATCTACATTTATCAAAAGAATTGCACATGTTTTGTCAACTTTTTGTCGGGAAATGTCAAGCGTTCAATTTGCAAAAGGTTGCAACAAAAACGATAAAACCTTTGGTGAATATAACTAAACTATATTGACTGTATCATTCTGCTTTCATTGCCATGAAAAAGTACATATTTTGTTATACAAAATTTCTGCCGTGGAAGTTTAACTTGTTCCTTCATCTACATATCTCACCCTTTGAAGGCATTTCCCCTCAGTAGCACACATCACTAGCATGCTTTCACTACACTAGCCAACAACACGCTTGTGTCTTTAATACATTATTTGGATTATGTTCCTCAAAACGCAAAACTATTGCTTGTCATTTCTTCACTACGACGAAATCGAAAATTCACATCCGCCAATTTTGACCCGCCTCAAATATATTTCATGAAATAACTTTACCTATGAATCACTTGAAAATTGAGCTGAAAGATTTACTCACTCGAAGTATTTATACAGCATCAGTATATTGGCATGGAACACGAAATCCTAAAGCTGGTTACTAGCATAGCCCTGCCATACTGCAATTATGAGTCTTTTTCACAAGGCTGTTTCAAAGCTCCTTCGAAAAGCCATCATACACCTACTCCCTCCACGTTTTGACTTCGTTCACCTTGTCCTGCAGCAAGAAACTGAAATGGTATTTTAGAAGACGCCACAGCCATAGCCTGTTTCTTAAAATTTGTCACCATTTATTTGCGCCTTAAATGAATAAGGCGTGACTTAAGGTTTTTTTTTGTATGTTCACTCACCTATTTCTCGTCTCTTGAAAGTAATCTTTAAGAAGTAAGAATGAAATTATATAAAATAGAATCTGGCTCCTAAAACCGTGAGATAAGGCACACAGCTCCACCATCAACGAACAGCATTCCGTGCCCGGTGCGGGATCTCAAAGTGTCATCGACTATCCGTTCACACGTTTGCTGAAATTTCGGCGCTCATTGTGTTCGTATTGTCAAGACGCTGCCTGTCGCCGCAGCATCCCGCGTTCGCTGGCTCAACCCGAGTCTTGTTCGAATGCCCCTATAATGAAGAATATAAAGCAGCAACTGATCAAAGTGTGGTAGTTTTCATTGGCTGTTGGCGACAATAATAAGGTAACAATCTGGACACCATTTCGTGGTGCTGTAAAGACTGCTTATTGACCGCAATAAGCAGGATTTAAAAACAGATCTCCGGTGCCATAAAATATTTCATGGTGTGAACAGCTGATACCTATATTTTTCTTTTAATGCATAACTGGATGCCACTTAATAACATTTGTCGTCGAACCCACACATCGTACGACGTGTCTGTGTTACGCATATAATTTCTCAATTTGCCCATCACTGTGTTACTCGTAAATTATTGAAAATTTTCTCGCATTAATATTTCTGTCTTTACCCATCTATTACTATGAATAAAGTGCGACTCTTGTACACTATTTCATTCTGCCACAGCGCTGTGTGCAGGGGCGCACCATGCTATCATTAAAGAGGCCCTTTAACAAATGATCACAACTGTGATTGAGCACATGGGTTTATCAACCAATGTGCGTGCTCAAATCTTTTTTGTTGGTGTAGTGTCGTGTGAAAGGCGAAGCTTTTTGTGGCTGCCACAGCAGCTCTGCGGGTCAGCAGTGGAACATCTTGGCTACAAGACCACTGAGGCGGGCACGTGAACATACTGATTCAACAAGGACCAGGTTGAATTTTTTTACTTTATTACATATCAAGATAGCCGAATGAACGTATTAATGACGGAAAGAGTTCCGGCTGCTGCTGTCATGCCCTCCAAGTCGTCCCCCACCCTCGCTGTAAAACATTTTCAGCTATGGCACTGGTCGGCACCAAAATTTAGTGACCCTCCTTCTCAATCGAAGTCGGTGAACCGGAGGCAGCACAACTACGGTGATGCATTTCTCAAGCATCTGTTGAAAGAAGAAAAAATCATTGAGTGATCAAAGCGATTGCGAAACTTCCATTGGTAAGCACATAAAAGAACAGACAGAGAGTACTGGTGAACTTTTTTGTGCTACAAAACATGAAAAAGGGAGACACCCTACGCATGCGTTCCAACTAGTGTCTATATAAAATGTTCAAATGCGAGGATAAATATTGTCCTCGTAAGGTTTATGCACTGAAACACGATGGCCTGATAAAAAAAACTAGGAGTGCTTCGTAGATTTCCCGGGTTGGACAATGATAGTATCTGTGCAAAATACGCGCCTGTTGAGAATAAGCGTGCAGCCATGATCGTCAAAGTAAACTATCAGATTACTTCCAGTTTTAGCCTTCTGGTTAAGTTTCTGCTCCTTCAGATGTCGTTGCTGCTGCGATAAAAGCGCACCGATTGTAGCATAAATCGTTATTTCTAAGATGCACGCATACTCCATAGACATCGTTATGGCCACGCTCATAAAATCTATGAAGATTTCATCATTCGTTTCATACGGCAATTGTGGCGAACCCACTGTGAAACGTGCTAACGGATAGGGATAAGTTTTTGTGAACTAGTCAGGTCACAATCATTTGGCTTCGCTTTTCCTACCTTTTTATGATATGCATTTTCAAAGATGCAATTATATTAGTACCTATCAAATAAACTCTCAAGTTTTAGTAAGCTCCCAGTCTTCGCAGTCGTCCCTCTCTGCCAACGATATTAGTGTATGAGCTGACTTTGCATCCCCACCTTAGGTGAAAAAAAACAAGCGGCTCCACCCCTTTCTCTTCCCAACCCACAATCTTGTTCGTCGACCTATGCAAGTGCACCAGATGAAACAGGTAGGATGAGGCCCCCGGCTTAGCTAAACGAAAAAGCAGTGGAAGTGCTATGAGAAAGTTTGACCTCCTTGAGGGGGCAGTTATTCTTCCGCTCTTATAATTTTTTTATTTCACACACATAATATTTACTATAAAACGTCATCCCGTGTAATTTATGTGTTTCACCGTCTATTGCGTCTGATTAACGTTATTGTCCTAAAAGTATTAATAAGCATATACACGTTGTTGGGCTGGGTGGTTCGTGTTCATATAGAAACGGCAGATGCGTCTATTTTGCGCAAATAAACAATAATTTGTGCTCCCCTTCAACCCTTTCCTCGCTATTTCTTTGCAGAAATATCCGCATCTGTGGCTTTTAATAAACAAACCTTTTGAAGTCACCTATTTCCATCAGTCATATCATAATTTACTTTAAAACCAGGGAAACTTTAATTCGCAGTTGTATTGAGCACGCACAGATGAATAATGATAGATCGGCGAAACATTAAACAAAATGTTGTTAACGCACGACAAACAACAGCAGATAGCCAAAATTCCTCATGTACTACAGTTGGCCTCACACATAATAAGCCCATATGATGGTTTTGTGACATAAGCCCTACATATTATGTTAACATTGACAGAACATATCACTTTCACATGTTCAGAAAAAGTTTGAAAGGAGTTACCTTCATACGGGTGAAATAGTTTTTTGATACCAGAGGAAGGCCGAGAAAAATGTTACTTATTGTAGATTTCATGTTAAACAATGGCAATCAAAATCTTTGAGGAATATGAACAAGACTCTACGTCTATTGAGTGTCATCTTCGCTTCGGAAAAAGAATTGGTGCGAAATCAATCAATCAGTCTCACTTTTAATAACTCAAGTAATTATTACAAACTTGCTAGACCGTTAGCCTATATTGGTTGTTTGTCGGTTCCTATCAGAGTACATAACAGAATAACAGCACATATATATTTATACGCACAAACTTATATATACACATATACTTATGTATGGTTATCTATATACATGACTATTCACATGCATATAGAAACACATGCACACGAAGTAATACACATATTTACACAACTAAAAGGAGAAAATAAATGATAGAACAAGCAACTTGTAATAACTAGAAACACCACAATGTAAACTGTAACAAGTGAAAAAATGCACATTTCATATGTCAAATATGAACATACCGTATTTTGGAAGAAAACAATGAATGCGATGTTATACACTGTTCCCCGCTGAACCTAGAGTGACAGAAAATCATTAAATCGAGCAATTAGGCATGTCTACAAAGCACTTGGTTTTGGAAATCTGAATGCGCTGATGTGGATACGCTTCTACCCATTATAACCATTGTCATGACAGATAACACTGGTGTAAATACGCTCATATGTTCATAAGTGCAGATCTGAATCCCACTATCCCATCTGCCCCTCTCCATATGGTGACCTATCACATAGCTTTTTCTACTGCCCAACTGCTAAGTGATGCAGCCTTGTCCTTTAAATCACCACCTGGCTCGAGTGGATCGGTGCCGAAGGGGAAGATTAATGTCGGCTGGTTGCGCAAGTGGTCAAAATACTCAGCTGTTAGTATGCGTCTGATATAAAAGCATATCACAACTACGACCTTATGTAATATGGCAGCTATTACTCGTTGAAAAAATCTGTCGCTTCTTTGCTATTATAAGGTTATATACTACTCGTAATTGAATAATGCGCGGAACACACTGAACAGTAGTGTTAAAAGGGTACAAATCCGGCGTCTAGTTATGTAAAAAATTCTCTCTCACATATTACTTCAAATAGAGCACATATTATCTTTCTCCTGGATCACGAAGTTGTCGCTTTTGAAAATTTGGCCAAGGATCAGCATGATGATACCCAGAACTCACCAGCTTGGCGGATTATTATACTGGATGGACAGATGGTGGGAATATTGTGAATGTATAGTACAGATGGTGGGTGAACAGTGGAAATGATGGATAGGCAATGGGTGGGTGGTGAGCGATGAGACTGGTGGGCAGGTGATGGGTCGATGGTGGACGGACGATGGGTGGATATGCTGGTTGTTTGCTGGGGGACAGCCGGTAGATAATGATAAGCTTTGGCTGACTGAGTCATGTATTATTTGTAAAAACAACAGACATTGAACTTCACAGCTTGATTACAGACTACTTTCTACCACTGATTTCAACATGCTTACTTAGATGTCTGTCTACACATGGCCAAGCATGCAGCAACATGTTACTGCAGCGTGGAATAAATGAATGTCTCTAGCATGAAATATGTATTCACTTGTTCTGCTTGCATTGATGCTTAACATGGAAGCATTGCTGGCCTTCTTCATAAATTTCTTAGGAGCTTCAAGATGGGCTGCTAAGCCTCCTAAAATAGAACGCTCAATATGACATGGTTCAGATAGTATGTCTGTCAACCTCACCACATTTGTCAGCTCAGGCATCGACATTTACCACCAAATACCTTTTTGATTTCTTTTTCAGTGCTTTTCGTCCAGTTCATTCTAAAGAATAATTGCGACAAAAAGCCACTGATATCACCTCCGTTTGCCTTTTGCATACAAAAAATTGGCACAATGCGCGTATCTTGGGGAAGGATGTCATGCGAAAAATGCAAATGGAGGGTGACTTTGCTGCAATTTTTGTGAGCCGTTACGTAATAATGCTAGCCATAGGTACAAACGTTATACGCATGATTATCTGTTGAACAGGTGCATATGTTTTATAGAACGATATTGTTTATGATGTTCCTTGATGACAAATAAACATCGGTGTTAGCTTAACAGAAGGGCTGAGGCTCAAATGTAGCAACACAAGAAGAGATATGAACAAGCGCCAACAGCTAATTTCTATTCGAAGGAAGCGGGATTACTCTCACGTTTGGAGAGCGTTACTTGCATGACGTTTAAACAGAATAAAAGTTGCTTGTGACGACGTATATTTAAAAAATATAACGTGATCAATCGCATGTGGTGCAAGGCCAAAGTAACATGAACATGATACCAGGATATTGAAATAGTCAAGCTTGCCGAGAGCAGGAAGCCATCGGTTCATGCTCAGAAAAAGCTACCTTTCACCCAATTTTTTTCTTCACATATACATTACAATTGTGTCTAATAACTTCCCCTGTACTTTCCTTTCCATTAATGTCTGTTAGTGTCATTACATGTATATATATAAATATATATACACACACACACACACATATATATATATATATATATATATATATATATACATATATATATATATATATATATATATATATATATATATATATATATATATATATATATATATATATATATATATATATACGAAGCAACCAGGTTATATTTTGAATGCAGACGCATGAGCCAAAAAGACGCAGCCCACGTGACATACGATGATGATCACTACAATCATTGTGTCATACAGAGGAAGATGAAGTACATAATCAGCGCGCACAATATATATATATATATATATATATATATATATATATATATATAGATATATATATATATATATATATATATATATATATATATACATATACATATACATATATATGTATTTATATATACATATATATTGTTACGTATGGGAAGATAACTTAAGGGACTCGAAGCAATGGCTGGCACTCGAATGAACAGCTCAATCATGTTGTATTCTCGTTAACTGACACCACCCTCGTGTGGTGCAAGAACCACGAGTACATGTTCATGATTTGGGATCGTTTTGTTGAAGAAGTGCAGAAGTGCTTCGGTGATTTGGACGCAAAGAAGAAAGGCGCAGAGCACACACTCTCTCATAGGGCACAGCTTCCATGAAAACATGTACGACGTATAATAAAGAAATCTTGAAGCTGTGCAACATCGTGAATTCAAGGATGTCTGAAGAAGACAAGGTTGCACACGTTCTCAAGGGTATAGCCGAAGACGTGTACTATTTCTCAATTGGGAAAGACTACTTGATCTCCGTGTACGACGTGATGAAGCACTGTCGTACCTTTGAATCACTCAAGATGCGTTGAATTTCTCCGAAAGTAGGCCGCCTGTTTTAAGTCCCCAATGTGGCTAGTGTTGAAACAGTGCCGCCTAACAACCTTGCTTTCACCATATGGCAGATCGTCAGAGAAGAGCTGCTTCGATGTCAGCAGACCTGTAATCTTCCCAGCATTTTCAGGAAGCGTACGCAAGCGAACCAGAACTTGTGCGGACTCCTGTTTCTCTTCCCCCATGGTATCCATCGATCAACGCAGCAGACGCTTATGAATATCAAGGCACACAGCAGGCTGGACTCCCACGTCAACCACCTCCAAACTACGAACAAAGTTTTCGCCCGCCTGTTTACCCAACATCACCTGCCTACCGTGTCCCTGAAAGGCGGCACCTCTATCCCAAGTCTTCCGAGAAAAGTCGCAACTCTCAGCCACGTGGCCCTCGACCAATTCCGGTGTGCTACAACTGTGGCGTCCCTGGTCACATCGCACGTCTTTGTGACCACCGCTTATATCAGCGACAGTCTTGGTACATGTCTCACCAACCTTCCGACCATGCGCTCTCCACGTCACGGAAACCACGTGCACCTACCGGGTCACGCTACCCCTCGTCGGCCTCTGATCAAAGTTCGACGCCACCACCAGCTCCACGTGCTCCACGTTCGCCGTCGCCACGGCGACGCGTACGGACACCGCCGCTGAAAAACTTGTCAGCGCGGTCAGTGGGGGTGAGGCCGCGAGATCGCAGGTGCTATCTACAGATATACCCCCGTGTCACAAACGACTCCAATGTTCGGAGCATCCGCGGGCCCCACCATCCCAGGAAGGGCGCTTTGGTGTTGGGGGGACGACATCCGGCGACTTTAACGACCCAGCGCGGCGCCGGCTCGTCTTCCCTGCATCGGTATCGGAAGGGGCACCGGCGATCTAAACAAGGAAAATTACTCCCAGATGAGACGGGAACACGTGTACGCCCCTGAGGTGGTTTGAACTGCATCGGAAGAGCAGTTGACCTACAGCCAGCAACAAGTGCGGTCGTCGGTGTCGCGAGTCTCGCGTAGGCGGCGAGCATGGAGTGACCCGCGCAACGTATTGAGACGGCTGCAATTCCGGGCACCCTCGTCGTCTACCAAGCCGGCGAGACCTTCAGCGGCACCCGTCAACTCCCCTACGTGCACTGTTATGAATTTTCTCTGTCGCGATGGTAGCGGTGGCGAAGAGCGGTGAGCAGTCGAGCGGGCTTCGCTGAAGCCTTAGCCCGAAGGTGAAACAGGGAGGCAATTCGTTTGGAAAACAGCAACAAAAGTAGCGTTTACTGTAGTAGGTTGTCGTTTTACAGAGCCGGCCAGCACGACAACGTCGGCTGGGGCAAAATCTTCTAACATGGGGCCGGCTCGGCCTTAAATAGCGTCCATGTTCCATTCTCTCGGACCAGTTCTCGGGCTCGGAGGGGGAGATGTAGCCATATTCGGAACTGCAAAGTGGCCCGGCGGAGGAAACGACGTTATCCCCGGACTGCACGGTTCTCCTGCACAGAAGGCGGCGCTGGGAGGGGGGGGAGACCGTTCGTCGAAACAGGGCTCGATCTCGTGAGACGTGCTGCCGAACGAGGAACATGTCGGTGGCACAACAGCACCCCCGCCGCCAGACAATGCATCCGGAGTTTTGAGCCGTCAGCGCGGCTCGGAAGGAGGGATGCTGGTTGACCATCGGTAGCCGTTCCGCTCTCTCCGCCCGTTGAGACTTCCATAGGCCTGCAGAGATTCACTGGAACGACGGAGTCGAACACAAAGGCGAACCACTCCGGCCAAAGCAAGCACCCTCCAAATGCTGATCAAGTCGCCAGACCAGCAGACACCAAATGTTTTCTCGAGATTACGCTGAGCTAACAAATAGCATCACGAGCAACGAATCTCGGGAGGAATACATAATGCGGACACACCTTTAGCTAAGTGTCAGTGCATGACACCGCTAAACCAAACAGAATTTTTTTTTATTTCAAGCGATTCTCAATCGTGATTTAGGCAGATTCTGGATGATCGAAGCTTCTGAGGATTGCTCAGTTTAGCACCGAAACTACAATTTAGTACGCCTAGCAATCCTGAATCACGCACATTGGCGTCGCCTGCAAGCGTCATATTGTCAACTTAACAAAGTCCGTCCTCCTACAAGCTCTCTTTTCAATGCGCGCAGCCAATATGATCAAAACAAGATAAAACACGCTTGAAAAGTAAGACAATAAG